TAACTTACACAAAAGCACACGAGAATAAGCTGTGTGTTAGGTAGCACACACGTGTGACATGGTACTAGCAAGAGCGTGATACAGAGAAAATGTGAGCAGTGGCCGGGTGGGCGTGAGGAGGTTAAACCATGGACAGCACAGCTGCTTCGAATTGGCTGGCCCCTGAGCGGACCTCACAGAGGGGAAAGAGCTGCTTCCATATATATACTCTTTTTATTGATTTCAGAGAGAGGAAGGGAGAGAGAGAGAAACATCAATGATGAAAAAGAATCACTGAGCGGCTGCCTCCTACACGCCCCACACTGGGGATTCAGCCCACAACCCGGGCATGTGCCCCAACTGGGAACCGTACCATGACCTCCTGGTTCACAGGTCGATGCTCAACCACTGAGCCACCCGGCCGGGCTCAAGGGGGCCTTTTGAGCAGAGTATGGTCAGCCCTCGCCGGCTTGGCTCAGCGGATAGAATGTGGGTCCCGGGTTTGATTCCGGTCAAGGACACATACCTCGGTTGCAGGCTTGATCCCTGGCCCTGACCCGGGCGAGTGTGGGAGACGACCAATTCATGCGTCTCTCTCACATTGATGTTTCTCTCTCTGTCTCTCCCCTCCCTCTACTCTCTCTAAAAAAGGAAAAAGAACAAGAGTACAGTCAGCCCCGTCATACGCTGCAGAAGGTATGGGAAGAGCAGGGCCATCGGATGTGACGATGTGCAAGTCACTTGATCCCTAGCTGAGCCAATTTCAATGTGGCGGGAGGGTCGCAATTCAGCTGGCGGGTGTGAAGGGTTGAGTCGTGGTGGAGAAAGCACAGACAGGAGTGGGGCCCTTTCCAGAAGAGAAGGGTGTCTGTGAGGGGGGCAGAGGGGGAGGGGCTGACCAGGGCTTTCTCACTGTTTGTGTTCAGATGGGAGCAACATGAGCCTGTGTCTGCATGGCTCCCACCAGGCCAGCAGGTTGGGCCTGGGGCTGCAGCAGGAGCAGAACGTCCCTGCGCTCTCCGCTCCACCTCCTTCCGCTTCGGGGGTGCCTCCAGGTGCAGCGTGAGGGTGCTGGGAGGCTGAGGCCTGGGGGGTGGCCCGGCGAGCACCTCCCTGCAAGCTAACACCTGACCGAAGCCTGAGGGAAGAGGGGAGGGGAGCCGAGACTGGGAGTCCTCCCCGGAAAAGGAGCGTTGAAGCTGAGAGCCCAGGAGTAGGAGTGCACTTGGCATTTTCAAAGAATCACAAGAAGACAGGAGCAGCGAGAGGAGGGAGCCACACGGACCCTGGGGAACGGTGGAGGCGCCGAGAGTTAGACGGGGGCTGGGTCGTGTAGACCCTTGCGGTCCACTGTCAGGACTCAGTTTTTCACTTTCTAAAACCCCACAATGTGGTTGCTAATCCAGGGGAAGTAAGATTGTTGTCTGGGAGGCGGGCGGACAGGAAATTCCGGAAGAGGATTAAAGCCCTCAGGCAGGAGGAAAGGAGGGAGCCGTGCGGTTGGGGTTCTCCCAGAAGGCGGGGAGACCTGAGAGCTGTTACCTAATGACCTTGGGGTTTCTTTGCAGTGGCCTATGAAGCAGGACAGTGCGGAGAGGGGGACAGTGAGGGAAAAGGTGACCAAGTGTGAGGACGGGGAGTTTGGAAGAGGCGGGAGGAGGTTCAAGGGCCCTGATGAGGGTCCAGCGGGGTGGGACTGTGACGCTGCAGGAGCCCCGACCTGCTGCTGGGAGAGGCCTCTGCTTGCTCAGGAGCCTGGTGTGAGGCAGAGGCGACCGGGCAGAAGGGCGCGAGGGGAGAGCACTGGGGAGCAGAATCAAGAAGCCCAGGGAGAGTGATGGACCAGGGACACCGAGATCTGCCTGCACAGGGACAGGGGTGGCGCAGCAGATACAGACGCAGGGGGTCCCATGGGAGGGGCAAGAGGCCTCAGGTGCAGAAACCCAGGGCAGAGGGAGGGAGAAAGTGGGTGATGGGAGGCAGGAGGTCCTGGTCAGACAGGAGGTGGGTGTGTGGGGTTTGCTTTCGGAAGCAGCTGGGCTGGAGTTGCAGTGAGGCTCGGAGCGCAGCTCGGAGAGGAGAGAAGCTGAGGGCCAGTGGAGCTGACGCAGAGAGGGGGGCGAGCAGGGCTGGTGGAGATAAGGAGTGAGACTGGGTGGTAATGACCAATGACCATGGCTGTGGACCGACGCCTGGGAGCCATATTTCAAAGAACGTGACGCATGTGGGGCCCGAAGGCCAGCGATGGCCGCCTGGCAGCCGCGGGGACGGCAGGGCGGGGGGCAGGACCCGGGGCTCTCCAGGGGCCTTGGTGCAGCCAGTCCCAGAGCTGAGAGGCTGGGCTTGCCCCGCCCCTGCTCACCTGTCCTTGACCTGTCCTTGGCTGCCCTCAGGCCAGTCCTCGGCCTGGAGCCCCCTCCCCCTTTGACCGTTTGAAATCCTACTTTGTGCAACCAAAGGGCACCTCCATGAAACACCCCTTTTTACCACGAGATGCGGTTTCACCTCCCTCTGGATGGCCACGCAGCTTTGTGTATAAGAGTCTCGGACGTGGATTTGCGTGCAGCTAGCGCGGTCGGTGCCTGCGTGGTCCTCCCCTCCTGCCCGGGCCCGCCTGCTCCCCTTGGCCTGTTCACATCCTGGCGCTGGGCAGGGGAGGCCTCCATGAATATTTTAGCACGAATGCTACAGACCCTTCCCCTCGTCAAGAACAGGCACTAACTCCCAGCGCCCTCCGCCCCAGCCAGGCCCAGGGAATTCTCAGGACTGGCAGCCCCCTCCCCTACCTCGACTTAGGCACGTTGTCTACGTTCCCATAAACCATCTGGTCTCCTCTTCACCCATGCAAATTCACTTGTCTTCCTGTTTTAGTTTTACCTTACACTCTGCATTGGGGGTGCATTTGGGTGAAGTGAGAGAGGACTGTGTCCTTACAGCCCTGCCAAACCCCGAATCCTACCTCTCTGCAAATCATGACTCTGTCAACGGTTAGAGGAATTTTAATATTCACGAACGAATTCCATTTTCCCACGGGGTCTGCAGAAGGGCAGCTCAGGGGGCTTCCCATGAGCCCGCCGCATCTTCCTCGGGTGAACACTCCTTGCTGCTAAGGGTCTTTCCTTCCTCTTCGAGCTGAGGCCAACCCCTCCCCACTGACTGCGGCGGGCACCTGGGAGGTGATGTAAACAGGGGACAGCCGCGGAGCCGCACTCTCTTCCTGCCCAAGGAGACGTTCTGTTTCCCATCAGAAACAAGATCATCCGAAATGTCACCGCTCCGCGCCCATCTGGGCTCCCGAAAGCAAGCTGCCTCGTGTCTGAATCAGATGTCACCCCCTGAAAAGCCACCTGCACCAGGCAGGGGGGACGGGGCTGGCGTGTCGCCACCGGCAGAGCTGCCCCCATGCGTCCAGGGGACCGTTTCGTTCGAAAGGAAGAGGATGGAGAGGAGACAGGCGGCGACAGAGAACCGTCTCCTCACGGCTTCTCTGACCCTTTGGAGACAAAGTTAAAACAAACACGAAGGGGCGTGGACGCGTTCCTCCCACAGAGCGGCAGGAGCATTGCCATTGTCACGGGCGCCCGCCCGGAGGAGGCGCAGGAAAGTGACATAGTGATGTGGTCAGTCTACAGGCCAGGACGGGGACATGCGGCTCAGGACACAGACAGGAGCCGCGGCAGGCGAGCAGGGAACACTCAGACGCCGAGGGGTCCTGCAAAGTGCCCTCTGAGACGTGGCCACGCGGTCAGCAGCCCCGGCCGCCCCTCCTTCCAGGGATGACACAGACACGTGCGCCCGGAGGAGAGGAGAACTCTGTAAATGACCCCTCCTCCTGCGGGAGCAGCTCCGGGAGCCCAGTCCCCTCGTTGACTCCGGAGCTAAGTCCCCATCGTGAAGATGCACGTCAAGCAAAGCAGGTAAAACAGCCTGCATGACCCCCAGCATCCCACGGGGGAGGGTGCCACCAGCAACTTCTCAAACGGTGGCCAAAAGGTTTTTTTGTTGTTTTTTTATCCTCAGCAGAGGATATTTTTCCATTATTGTTAGAGAGAGTGGAAGGGAGGGGGAGAGGCAGAGAGAGAGAAACATTGATGTGAGAGAGACACATCAATTAGTTGCCTCCTGGTCAGGCCCGGGGCCGGAGATCAAGCCTGCAGCCGAGGTATGTGCCCTGGACCAGAATCAAACCCAGGACCCGCCAGTCCGCGGGCCGATGCCCCATCCACTGAACCAAACCGGCCAGGGCTGTCCAGCAGTTTTGTTCGTGGCCTGAAATGCTGCTGTCACGCATGGCGGCGTGGATCCTGTGACCACCACCTGGGGGCGTTGTCGATAGCAAGCCTGCGCCCTGCGAAGCTCTCACGCCGCCGGCAGGAAGAAGACCTTCGTGAATCTACACTCAACACTTGAAAACATGTTACAGTGTTGGTACATGACAGAGCCACGCGTGTGCTGCACAGAACAGAGGCGTGCATGTCTTCTTCCCCTGAAAGCGGTGAGGGGAGACTGACGTTTACGAGCATGACAGTGAGCAGAGGCTTTGCACACCTGTCTCCCCATGTCATCCTCTCCACAGCCCGGGGATACGGACGGTCACAGTCAAATATTTTATAACTAAGGCCACAGGGCTGAGAGGGTAAGTCAAGTGCTGAGGTCACACGGGCAGCAAATGACAGACTCCACCTCACTCCAAAACCCAGTTCTCCCCGCTCCACCGCTCCACCTCCTCAAGTGCCAGCAAATCCTGTGTTACCTTTTCCTGCACACCCCTGCACACCCTTGCACACCCCTGCACAGCCCATACACACACCTGCACACCCCATACACACATCTCCACACACCTTCACACACCTGCACACACCTTCACACACTTGCACACCCCACACACACACCTCCACACACCTGCACACACCTGCACACCCCCCACACACACCTCCACACACCTTCACACACCTGCACACACCTGCACACTCCTGTGCACTCCTGCACACCCCTGCACACCCCTACACACCCCTGCACATCCCTGCACACCTCCTGCTGGAGTGACCTGCGTGGTTCTTGGGAAGAGTGGAGGAGGGACCGAAAGAGGGATTTTGATTGAGACAGAAGTGACTGAGGTTCATGTGTAGGCGTTTCCAGAAGACACAGTCCAAGAGTACAGTCTCATGGTCAGTTAGCATCTTGTTCCTGGGGGCGGGGTGTCCTTCCGAATCATAGTCAGGAGCTACTTCCGTTGTACGTCAGGCACAGAGACACACACCCTGCGCCCCACCGCTTGGGCTCAGACGACTGTCTCGGTGGTGTTGAGGTTGCTGCTGTCTTCCTGGCGCCTGGACTGCGTTTCGTCCTTGAAAGCCCTGGTCAGGACCACCTTTAAGGACTCCTTGAACCGCTTCTTCCGGCTGCTGCCCACGAAGAAGTAAATGAAAGGGTTGGCGCTGCTGTTGATGGTGGAGAAGAGGATGGAGACGTCGTGGAGGCTCCCAAAGGTGGACCAGTACTCGTAGAACAGCAGGTAGAGGACTCGCATGGGCACGGCGAAGGTGAGGAAGATGGCGATGGTGACCGCGATGACCAGGTACAGCTTGGAGGAGTGGGACGCCCAGGTGTTCCTGTGGATCTTGACCACCAGGACGGCGCTGGACAGCACCATGAGGGGCGTGAAGACCAGGAAGCTCAGGATGGCGATGAAGATGATGACTGCCCTGCAGTGGCGTTGGGAGTAGCTCTGCCTCTCGCTGTCGATGCACAGGGCGTATTCCATGGCGGTCACCAGGCAGGACAGCGCCCACAGGAGGGCGCAGACGAGCGCCGACTGGTGCTTGGGGCGATGGCATCGGTACCAGATGGGGTACAGGACGGACAGGCACCGCTCCACGCTGATGGCCGTCAGCAGATAGAGGCCCGTGTTGTAGCCAAACAGGAACGTCACGGACAAGGTGACGATGGTGTAGTAGTAGCCCGATAGGAGCTCGTAACCTAAGGCGTAGTCGACGGTCAGGATGAAGATGCAGAACAGCAGGGAGATGTCCGCGATGGACAAGTGGGTGATGTAGACTGTGAAGGGGTTCCTTCGCATCCGGAAGCAGAGGAACCAGAGGAGAACCCCGTTTTCCACGAAGCCCAGCGGGGAGATGCTCATAATGACCCAGAGCACGGCGGGCAGTTCCTCCCGCACGTCCCTGGTGGAGGCGTTCCTGCCCGTCGAGGCATTCGTGGGGCCCTCGACCGCAAATGAGGTCACGTTGGACTCACCCATGGGGAGGCCTCAGGGGGGAGCTCTTCCGGGAATTTTCTGTAAATAAGTTAAAAAAGAAAAAAAAAGAAAAAGAAAGGAAACGGATGAGTTGGGGTGAAAGGGAGAATGTCACATGGATCAGAGCCTTCGCGCTATAATCATACATGTAACCTTCATACATAAGTGTGGAACAGACTGTACAACTCTGTTTCTAAGGGTGATAAAATTAGACATTTCCCCAGGAGGGAGAACTGATTTAGTAACTGTTTTCGAGCCCCCAGTAGCCTTTACTTCTGCATTGTTATGTGCTTGTGGTTCAGCGACAAAGGGCGCCGGCAAAGCCAGAGGGTCGGGCGCCTGGCGTCCACTTCCGGTCTGGCCCAAGCCTTCTGAATGGCGTTTGGAAAATCGTGTCATCTCCTGTGGCCCCATCTCCTGACCTGGGGAACCAAGTCAATCGCATTAAAATTCGATGACAGCATCCATGTTAGAGAGTGCTGCTGCTGCCATTGCTTGAAGGCATGAAGTGCCATAAGCCATGGGCCAATGAGAGGGAACAGCTCGCTGAGTGATGGTCAGTCGTGTACCAGTACAGCGGGGCCTTGACTTACGAGTGTCCCGACGAATGAGTTTTTCGAGATATGAGCCGCCTCTCGGCCGATTTTTTGCTTTGAGTTGCGAGCTAAAATTCGGGTTACGGGCCAGCTTCAGATACCCCACTGCTAGTTGGCGCAGCGAACGTCACAGTGAACGCCACAACATCAGCCCAGCATCACATGTCTCACTCGTTCACTTTAAGATTTGACATACGAGTAATTTGAGTTACGAGCTCCGTCACGGAACGAATTAACCCCATAAGTCAAGGCCCCACTGTATTTTTAAAGGTGTGAACAGTTAGAAGGCACTTGTTCATGTGGTCTCAGTTCTGTGACGTAGCGGGGCACTGACTCAGGCCAGGTGACTGTTGCAAACCAACACTGCAGGGGTCAGGGCCCGAGGCTCCCGGGGCTTCCCGGGGGTCCTCACTGCTGAGCCAGCCAGGCCGAGTCCAGGTCCCCACTTCTCCCCGAGAGCTGATCTCATTGGACCACCGGTCTCATCGGACCCCCTCACTGCACAGACCACCGAATGGAGCCAGAGAGCATGTGAGGGAGGCCAGCATCCAGGACGAATGTGAGGAAGCCACGTAGCTGGGACTCCTTGCTCCTGAGCCCTCACACTCTGCCCAGGCCCCATCCTATTTTAAGAGCTTACCTTTTATAGCCTCTCTGTTACATGCTTTCCAATCTAGCTTCTAATGCTTCCTACTTAAGGAAGGGGGGAATCATAGCCCCGATGTTATAGGGCCGTGGTCAGCAAACCATGGCTTGTGAGCCACATGTGGCTCTTTGGCCCCTTGAGTGTGGCTCTTCCACCAAATACCACGTGCGGGCGCGCACATACAGTGCGATTGAAACTTCGTGGCCCATACTCAGAAGTCGGTATTTTGTGGAAGAGCCACACTCAAGGGGCCAAAGAGCCGCATGTGGCTCGAAAGCCTCGGTTTGCCGAGCCGCAGTTTGCTGACCACTCTAATATAGGGGATTTCCCCATCCAAAGACTTGTTTAATTTCTCTTTTTTTACTATATTTTTATTGATTTCAGAGAGGAAGGGAGAGGGAGAGAGGGATGGAAACATCAATGATGAGAGAGAATCAGTGATCGACCGCCTCCTGCACGCCCCACTCTGGGGATTGAGCCCGCAACCCCAGCATGTGCCCTGACCGGGAATCGAACCGTGACCTCCTGGTTCATAGGTCGACGCTCAACCACTGAGCCACGCTGGTCGGGCACTCTCTCTCATCATTGATGTTTCTCTCTCTCTCTCTCCCCCCGCCTCCTTTCTTCTCTGAAATCAATAAAAATATAAGAATAAAGGGCTGGGTGTGAGAAGAGCCAGAGATGGAAAACACTTCACCAGCCGTCTCGTGGAAATGCCAAGCTGAGATACCGCACCGGCCGCAGGCAAAGCAAGCACGGTGGTTTCCATGGGAGTGTAAGGATGTGAGCTTTGCGGAGCCCGAGTCCTGGCCAGCGTAGTGAAAAAGGCTGCTTGCTTTGACCTCGCACAAAAGCCAGAGGGACAGATGGGCCGTGGAGCTGATAGCAAAGCAAGGAGAGTGAAAGCAGGCAGGGATGGGGGTGGGGTTCCAGCTTGGCTGAGGTGTAAAGCTTTATGCTGCGGAGTTTTCTTTTAGGGGTCTAAGAAGCAGACATCTCTCTCTATGTTCCCGTGCAGTTGGCCACCGTCTACGCGTGGTCCTGGATGCCCAGTCCAACACATCACTCTAGGAAGAAGGAAGGAAGGATGGGAGGGAGGGAGGGCGGGAGGGCGGGAGGGAGGGTGGGAAGAAGGAAGGAAGGAAAGAAGAAATGAAGGAAGGGAAAAGAGAAAAGCCAACAACACTAAGGTCCCAGGTGGGCCATCTGAAACCGTCTTGTTCCTAGGCAACCAGAAAGAGAGGCCTGACTAGGCTGGACCTCCAGGTGCACAGCTCCAGGGAAAGGGCAAATCCTCGCGCGTGTGTGTGTGTGTGTGTGTGTGTGTGTGCGGTAACTGAGCAAACAGAAACCCATGTGTGAGATGGAATTTCCATGGCAGGTGAGGGACCTGCCGGGAACGTGCAGGCAGGAACATCTGTCTGGCGCTGAACACCTCGCTCCCATCTTCCTGACACTTGAGCCACTGCACGGAGAAGTAGGGACTTCCCGCTCCCTCTGCCCCTCACAGCGCTCGGCTCACACAGCGGCTGTGATTTTGTTGTCACAACTGAGAAAAGGGGGCTACTGGCATCTAGTGGGGCAGGGCCGGGGGCTGCCGTGCACGGAATGGCCCCCACAAAAAGAGTGTCCGGGCAAGGCACCACCTACAGCGCCTCCGACAGTATTGATGTTCTTTGTGAACGGAGACGCGGAGATGAGCCGGACGACAGGCGCGCAGGCGAGTAGCAATGCCCCCAAAGCCCTCACGGCTTTTATTCGGGGAGCACAGCAAATAACCATGGAGCACAGCAAGTGACAATGATTAACAGGCATGCCTGTGAGATCATCTGAGCTAAGTTATACATTTAACTATTAATTTCCTATGTTATACAAAGACTCTTTCCACCTGCAGCAGTGCACCCTCCCTTGAACTTTCCATGCCCTTATGGACTATTTATCACCTCAAGGAAAGTTCTGCCTCTAAACAATAAGTCTTGTTTGCAAGACTTTGTTCTGACGTGGCCCGCTTGCAGGCTCCCGTCCTTTCTTGGCAGAACGTCCTCTTCTAGTTAACTTCTCATTCTGCTTGACCTCTACAGACAGCATCCTGCGCCTTCCCCAACTCCCCCTGCCCCCTGCCTGGGAAATATTGCCAAGATACTCACACCAACGATCAGGACGGAGCAGATGCCTTTTCATGGCCCCGGCCCCCCGAGGGCGGCCCCCCGACTGTATAAGCCACAGAGGCTAGTGCCAACGCGGTGCCCACCACGGAGAGGAAAGGAAGACAAGCCAGCTTGCCTCCCGCCATGCCCCACTGCTTCTAAGCCAGTGGCTTCCCCAGAAAAATCTAAAAAGTCCTTGCCAGCCCCAGCTCCCGTATTTATACACGGATCCGAGAGCTCTTGCCACCAGACGAGTCAAAAAAAGAAAAAGCTAACACAGAGGCTTCTACCCTGAAGTTGGAAAACTCTGTCTGGGGACAGCCCAGCAAAGAAGCACAAGTTTCCAAAACAAGGGCCGGAGGAGACCACGGTCCCTGCCAACACACACAGACGCGAACGCGCCGGGAAAGCAGCGGCAGGAGCCGCCGGGCAACGGCTGCCTGAAGAGCGAGGCTCCTGCTCCAGGGGTCAGGGCCGCTGAACAATGGAAAAGTGGGGTTCGACTCACTAGCTCCATGGGCTCAGGGAGGTCAGAGGCGGCAGCCGGGGGGCTGTCCCTTGGCATCCCGGCGCACCCCTGCCCCACCAGCTGGCAGGGTCTCCGGTGCCAGCATCTTCTCCAAGGATGGCTGCAGCCTCCCTTCGCTGAGGCATCAGAGGCTCCCCGAGGCTGAGATGTGCCAGGCAGATGGTCCCACGCGTATCAGCAGGAGCCGCGTTCAAATACACGCAATTGAAAGTGTTCACGATGATCCAGAGTGGGAGCAAGCCGGCGATCACGGTAGGTGGTTGACCCCCTCGAACCACCAGGGCCAGACGGGGCCAAGGAGAGAGATGAGCCAGAGACAAGCCCTAGGGAGGGGCAGAGTCACAGAGATTCAGATTCCTGGCTCAGCCTGTGACTAGCCCCGGGATCCCTGCCAAGCTCTCTAAGCCTCAGTGTTGCCACCTGCAAAATGGAGCTGATCCTATTACTACAAGAAGCAGCTGTGCTTAAATGAGATGTATGTATACGCCTGCACTGCGAGGGGCACGCTGCTCAGTAATTAAGCATCCGCTCCCTTTCTACAACCCATTTTCAGAGTCGTGGGTGTAAATACGAAGCAACGGAAGAGAGAGAAACCTGGGAGAGGGCTCCGAGGGGGAGGGACAGGGTGGGCAACACCTGGGTTGCGCGTCCGCCTGGCTGGGGGCCGCCTCTGGGAGCCGCAGCCTCTCACCCACGCTGTCCAGTCGCTCTCCCCCTGGTCTGTCCCCCTTCTCCACAGGCCCCCAGCAGGAGAGCCGGGACGTGTGACAGCCGAGCCCCGGGGAGGCCCACCCCGCCCCCGTCCAGGCAGCATGTCCTCTTCTGCGAAAGTCTCCCTCACTGTGTCAAGGAGCGCCCGGCCCCTGGGACCCGTCACATCCAAACAGGGTGAGAAGGCAACTCCGGATTCTGTGGGAAAGAGACTTGGGAACCGAACATGCAGCTTTCCTCGGGCTGTTTCCTAAGCAGCGAGCCCCAGGGCCAGCAGACCGGGCCTGCGGGAGGAGGAGGGGAGGCAGGGGCGTCCCCTAAAGGCCTCCCACAGGCAAGACAAGGTGAGGGTCGGGCACCTGGTCGGTCTTTACCTGGTTCGGATGCTCCGAGGGAGGGAGAGG